TTGTGATCACATCTTCCACCTAGCTCGAGTTGGCTCTCCATAGTTTTATTTATTTTGCTAGGTTTTATCTCCTTATATTTACATATTTACACACTTTTTTAATAGATGACAAAGTTACATTTTATGCAATGGAATTGTCGCGGTATTTTAAGAAATATTGATGATGTCAATCATTTTATGGATGAGCTTCGACCCATCGCTCTTGCCTTGCAAGAAACTCATCTTCACTCTAATTCTTTTAACATTTTAAGACGTCATCAGGTTTTTAGGAAAGACCGTCCTGCTTCCAGTCCTTCTGGTGGCGTTGCGGTGGTTGTGCAGAGTGGAGTCGCTTGCTGTCAAGTTCCACTCCGCACACCTCTGGAGGCTGTTGCAGTGCGTCTCCTCGTGGACCGCCTTGTAACGCTTGTTTCTTTATACTTACCACCAAATATTCCTTTCAATCTTCAAGAGCTACAGGGACTTGTAAGACAGCTTCCTCAACCGTTTTTAGTTTTGGGTGATTTTAACGCTCATCATCCCATGTGGGGCAGTGCCCGTCAAGACTCCCGGGGTGGTGTTATTGAACGTCTTTTATTGTCTTCTGGGCTGTGTCTTCTTAACGGGAAAGAACCAACTTTTTTTAGTGCAGCACACAACTCATTCACATCTATTGATCTTTCTATCGCTTCACCTTCATTACTTCCTTGCTTTTCATGGAAGGTTCTCCATAACCCTTTTGGAAGTGATCACTATCCTATTGTTTTAGAAAGTACTGTTCCGTTGCCTAATCTTTTAAAGCGTCCCCCTAGGTGGAAATTAGACAAGGCTGACTGGACACTTTTTAATCTTCACTCCACTTTAGATCCTTCGATCCTTTCTTCTTTGTCACCCGAGAACGCTACACTTCATGTTACAGAGCAGATACTAAGGGCTGCTCAGCGCTCTATTCCACAAACTTCTGGTAATGTGCCAAAAAAATGTAAACCTTGGTGGAACAAGGAGTGTGCCACAACCCTGGCAGATCAAGACAAGGCCTGGGAAAGATTTCGTAGATATCCCACTTCGCACAACCTTGTGGAGTTTAAACGCCGAAAAGCCAAGGCTCGTTGGACTAGGAAGCGGGCAAAACGGAAGTCTTGGATGAAGTACCTGTCTTCTCTAACTAGTTTTGTCCCTGCCAAAGAGGCCTGGGACAGATATAGGAAAGTAAATGGGGATTATAGGTGCTTTGCCATCCCAACGTTTAATGCTCCTTGTTCGTCATTAAAAGACATTGCTAACGTCCTCGGAGAACATTTTTATAATTCATCCTGCTCAGCCAACTACAGTGCTAACTTCACACAGTTTAAAGCCCGTGCAGAGCAACAAAAGCTAGTCGTAACTGGAGGAAAGGCAGCCTCTTATAATCGGCCATTTACGCGATATGAACTTGAGATGGCCCTTAATGTAAAAAAGCTATCTGCTCCTGGGCCCGATGGGCTTCACTATGAAATGCTTCGTAACCTGTCCACGGAATCCCTTGAAAACCTTCTTTTTTTTAATTCCTTATGGGAAAAGGCTTGTTTTCCTCAGGCTTGGAGGCATGCATATATTATTCCCCTTCTAAAACCTAATAAAGATCCTTCACAGCCATCAAGTTACCGCCCAATCGCACTAACGAGCTGCCTCGGAAAAACATTTGAAAGGCTGATAAACAGGCGACTGGTTTATGTATTGGAACAGCAGAGGGCCTTTGATAACAACCAGTGTGGATTCCGCCGAGGTCGTTCTACTCTCGATCACTTGGTACGCTTGGAAACTGTTATACGTGAGGCATTTGTAAACCGGCAGCACTGTGTCGCAGTTTTTTTCGATTTGGAGAAGGCATATGATACAGCGTGGAGACATGGGATTCTTCAAGATCTGTATGCATGTAATATCCGTGGCCGTATGCTGCAATGCATAAGGGAATATCTAACAAACAGGACTTTTCAAGTTCGTCTTGGCTCCAACCTATCTGATTCCTACGTGCAAGAAAATGGAGTCCCTCAAGGAGGAGTCTTGAGCGTAACTTTATTTGTGCTAAAAATGAATTCAATTGCACGACTGCTACCTCCTTCTGTTTCATATTCTCTTTACGCTGATGATATACAGATCTCGTCTTCCTCTTGTAACCTTTCCAGCTGTGAGCGCCAGTTGCAGATAGCCATAAACAAACTTTCCAAGTGGGCTGATGAGAACGGGTTTCGGTTCTCTGCATCCAAAACAGTCTGTGTGCCCTTTTCTTTGCGTCGTGGGCTGTCATTGGACCCATCACTGGAACTAAATGGAAACCCTGTACCTGTCAGGAAAGAGCACAGATTTCTTGGTGTGATATTTGATAAAAAGCTTAATTTTATTTCACACCTGAAAGCTTTAAAAACTAAATGTGTTCAGTCTATGAATCTTTTGAAAGTTCTATCTCATAAGTCATGGGGTTCTGACAGAAAATGTATTCTACGGTTGTACAATGCTCTTGTAAGATCTCGTCTTGACTATGGTGCGGCAGTGTATGGATCGGCCCGGCCATCTGCCCTCAGAATGTTGGACCCAGTTCACCACCTGGGGTTGAGACTAGCAACTGGTGCTTTCCGAACATCCCCTGTCTCCAGTTTATATGCAGAAGCTAATGAGCTATCACTGAACAAACGACGAACTTATCTTAGCCTAACGTATGCTTTTAAGATTCTGGCTGACCCTCAACACCCTACTTATTCTTCCCTTACAAGGTCGAGATTTTCCCGTCTCTTTAACAACAAGCCAAGCATTGTGACACCATTAAGCTCCCGCATTGAAGAACTTTGCACTTCACTGCATCTTTCATTGGACCAGGTCGGCCTCATTCGAAATGTCGACGACCGTATTCCACCCTGGAAGACACTGCCAGTTGCCTGTGACTGGTCGCTCACAAAATTTAACAAACATGGCATTTCCCATGCTGTAATACTGCAAGAGTTTTGTGAAGTACAAATCAAGTATGATGGTTATCTTCACGTTTACACAGATGGCGCCAAGACTTCATCCTTCGTTGGCTGCGCTGTGTATTCAGAACGCTTCTCTAAAGTTAAGCGACTTAATTCATTTGCTAGCATTTTTACTGCAGAACTCTATGCAGTATCAATGGCAATAGACTACATTCTACATAAGAAAATAACTAGGGCTGTTCTGTTTGTTGATTCTCAAAGTGTGATTGTTGCAGTTTGCTCTGTTAAAGACACTAAAAACATGCTTGTACAACAAATTCAGAGTAAACTCAACGCTGCTCTACATGATGGTCAAAGCATAACATTTTGTTGGGTACCTAGTCACGTTGGCATAGAGGGCAACGAGAAGGCCGACAGGCTTGCAGGGTCTGTGGGAAACCTTGTCCAATCGTCTTTCTGTTTACCATATCAGGATATAAAGCCTTTAGTAAAGTCATCACTTTTTCGTTGTTGGCAGTTGGAATGGGACAGGGAGTGCGAAAACAAGCTCCACGTTACAAAGCCTGTTCTTGGAGCTTGGGAAAGCTCTTCATGCAAGAGTCGTCTTTATGAAACCTTGCTGTGCCGTCTGAGAATTGGGCATTCTTTCATCACTCATAAGTACCTACTTTGGGGGGAAGATCCTCCTATTTGTGATCAGTGTGGGGATTCTCTTACAATCTTGCATATCATGTGGTCCTGTCCCGCTCTGGAGCCCAAGCATCGTATTTATTTTCCCGAGTTGTTTCAACAACAGATCCCGTTTCATCCGGCCCTCCTGCTGGGGGAGAATCCCATAGTCCCTTTTAGCAGGGTAATAGACTTTCTTACTAGCATTGGCATTTTATACCAAATATAGCTTTACCAAATCCTAGGTTGCACTTTGTTAAAACTCTCACCAAAGCATGCTGATTGTCACTATCGTTTGGCGCAGATGGCCTCGTAGCTCTTGCGCCATTAAACCCCCAAAATCAATCAATCGATAGCCCCGCTGTAACCTTTGTAAGCGAAACCACCTTTACCTCTTTAAAAAAAATTTTCACTGCCTTATTTCGCCTAACCACAAAATCACCTTCGGGTATGAGGACGACCTCCCCCCCCCCCATCTGCCAACAACTTGCGCTCTTCGAAGCAGGACGCAACCTTTTCTATGTTAGGCCCTTTTGGGGCACCCCATTCTTGAGGGAGGGTGTCAAGCTCATCTAAAACACATTGTTCCTTCTCAGCCTGTTCCACTCCATCTCCCACATTTCTGACCAGTGCCAACGTTTCCGAATGCTTGAGGCTTATTTCACATGCATTCTTGGGTAATTTCTCAAGAATTTTGGCAATGTCCTCAGGTATGCTGGCGTCACCCACAACTACCGCATCACATACGTCCCTCTTTCTTTCCTTTGACGGCTTCGGTATCGACAGAAATGGGCGTCGCCATAGAAATTCAGTGTTATGGCCAGCCTGGTGCCGACACAGTCTGAACTTCCACTCGGCCACCCTCTCTTCTTCGTAAACAGAGTAGCCAAAAAGTTCCTAAAACTGCATTCTTTTGAAAATGGCAATGTTGACCTCTACAGCTTTTGTTCTTCTGAATCTACCAGGCTTGGTGAATGAATAGACCTATTGCAGTATTACCCAGGCATCAAGGAGAATGCAGGGATTGGTGTTCCACGCGCCACACGCGTACGCATTCCCCGTATAAAGGATTCGAAGCAAACAACCAAAATAAAGCATTGACGAACGCACGTCCAAGATGTCATTTGTTTTATGTATTTGCTTTAGAAAAATTGCTACTGCTGATGCCGGCACGTGTGGCGCGTGGAACACCAATCCCTGCATTCTCCTTGATGCTTGGGTAATATAGCAAATGGTCTATACTTGAGCTATAAATCAAATTATAATGTCTGTGGGGTAAATGTGCGATGAAGTTGGCTCTGAAACATTGTTTTTACAAAACAATTTTTTTACTCGTTGAAAATTTGCAGGAAGGCAGAGTGCCACCCTGCACCCCTCCAGGTGACCTTTGGGAGTCCAGTGCTCCGGGACGAACTCCAGGACCTTGAGGTCCACCAGCCGTGGTCGTCCCTCCGTTGGTTTCACCAGCCAGGTGTGTGGCTCCAGCATGTCAGAGTCCGGCTCCAAGAAGCCTTCCCTTTTGGTGTCCTTCGGTGGGACCACGACTTCCTCCGTGGCGAGCGGGAGGAGAAGGGCAGCGAGCCCCGCTACAGTAGTGGTGAGGGTTTCAACTGTCCGCCTGAGTTCGCTTACTTTGGTCCTTTTAGGGAAGACTCTTCCCTAAAAGGGAAGTGCCTAGCGCCACCTGTATACCTTTATTTTCAAAATAGCTTTGAAACGCTGATGTCAGTTCCAGCGATAGACAGGGGAAAGCAGTTGTGAACTTGATAGTAAGCGCGACACGGGCTGAAGTACAATCCAAAATTAACACCTTGTGGGAGATGGGTGGAAGACGACGGAGCGAAGGGCACGTGGCAGGCGGTCAGCCGCAGAGTCGTGAGCTTGCGCCAGACAGAGCATGCTGTGCGTGGCTGAAGCAGGGCAGGAACGATAGAGCCGTTCTGGTTGACCTCGCCCATGGCAATCCCCGGAGCGGTCCACCAGCGAGGTTTGGAGCAGGACCGGTGGGAACGGCGAGCCCTGGCCCTATTGGCCTGCGCCATGACAACCTTGGAGTGGTTCCGCAGCGAGACTCGGGCTGTCATAACCCTGGACGGCTAGCGTACGCAGCGCTGGCATGGGAAGGACGATCTGCAGGCCTGGGCACGGACTCCGACTGCGGGCCCGGAACGCCGGCTAAATCCTTTCGCTGTCTTCTCTTTGCAGTGTGCGACTCCTTGAAAGATGAGCGAAGCACATACCAATCGGGCAGCGATTATTAGTAGAGCGAGATTACCACAAAGAGCGACCACAACCTATACCAAGAAATTAAATCCAAAACTAAAATGTGCTTCCTGGCATAAATATTAGGCTAAAGATCGTTTTTGTTTTCAGGATAAAGAGGTGACCTGCACTCATAACACCCTAGCTCCCTCGTATCAGCAAGAATAATTTGTGTCGCGAGCACACTAGACAGGCTCAGCCGGTCTAGTGTGCTGGCTGCAACGCAAACGGACGTCAGTGACTGCAATGTGCCTTCCTCTTGTGTCATCCCCAATTGCTTCTCTATTCCAGGAACTCCGAGGCGTCTGTGCAGTGAAGCCACGTGCCTGCACCCCGGAGAGAAACGTGCGAGAAGGGTGTGTGCGAGTCGTGCATGTGAGCGGGGTAGACGGCTGGTCAAGATGACTTCTGTGACATTTTGGCGTGGGCTATCGCTGGTGACGGCGTCTAGGTTTTAGGTTGAGGAAATCAGCTCCCCGATGCTGAATTTGACACTCCTTGCATTCTGCCACATGATGTCCAAGTTTCTGCTTCCAAACACATGCTTACAAACTGCTGCTATACACATTGAAGATCAAGATGAGCTCAAGACTGTGCTTTGACAAGTCCACCAGAACAAGGAACTCGATGTTCAGAATAAAGAAAAATTGGAAACAGTGACACGGTTTGTTAGTTAACGCTGTGTTGTGAATCAAATTAAATCATTAAATTAATTAAATGAATGAATTAAATCATTAGCTAATAAAAAAAATATTCAAAATTTTTCCTCGGTTTTCTGCCCACCGACACAGCCGCCGGTGGTGATGCAGCACCGCAATGGCAGAGCATCGCCACAAAACGTAAGCACTAGGTTGCACAGGCCATCACCCAATTCCATCCAACCATCCATCCATCCAACAGCTTGGCAAACCAAGAATTAAAGGGGCACTAAAACGAAACTTTGGCGCTTATTTCTTGGTCTATTCGTGTTCAATGGAGCATTATCACATCAGACACACCAATCTGTTGTTGAAAAAGACATGAAAAGTAATTTTAAGACGAATTAAACGATTCGCAAAGACAACTTTGTGGATGTCGCTAACGCCTCGTTTGTAATGCCCGTCTAGGAACCTTGACAGGTAGTGACGGTAGCTACGACGAGAAAAGAGCTGAAGTCCCCTCTCCCCGAGAATCTTTTTTGTGCGTTCCAGAAGTCGCTATTGTCCCTCTACAAGATCACAGAAGATTAACCCGTCACTCAAAATTCACACAAAGACAGCGGAAAGCGTATCATGGGCTACGTCCACAGAGCAAGATTGGCTGGAATAACTCGCAGGGCTTCCGCTGCGTCTGGACGCAAGGTCCCGAGACAAAGTACGTCACAATTGTGGCTGATGTGGCGTGCTCTCCACTGGCTGCTCTCCGAACATTTGCCAGAGTGGGTTGTTTATAACGAAAAATACAGTCATCAGGCTCAAAATACAGACGTGTGATTCTCATTTACGGATATTGTGGATCATATCCAGCCTATTTGTGAGCACGACGGGTATATTTCGTTGAAGTATCCCTCTGTAAGCGCTCGTCCTGTTCGCCTTCTTTTTTTAGAGCGCAGCTCTTAGGGGCCCGTTCCCGGCTTGAGCGGCGTCGGCGTAACCAAGGTCACCCCAAGGTCACATGACCCCCAAGGTCACGCGACCCCCAAGGTCACGTGACCCCCAAGGTCACGTGACCCTCACAAGTCACGTGACACCCCCAAGGTCACGTGACCCCCCCCCCCCCCCCCGAGGTCACGTGACCCCCTGAGGTCACGTGACACCCCTCGAGGTCACGTGACCCCCCGAGGTCACGTGACACCCCCCGAGGTCACGTGACCACCCCCAGGATCACGTGACCCCCCGCCGAGGTCACCTGACCTCCCAGATGACGTCACCGGCATCCACATGGTCATCATCACTGATGACGTCATCAGTGACGTCACTGATGACCTCACCGGCATCCGCATTGTCATCGTCATCATCACTGATGACCTCACCGGCATCCGCATCGTCATTGTCATCATCACGGATGACGTCATCAGTGACGTCACTGATGACGTCACCGACATCCGCATCGTCATCGTCATCATCGCTGATGACGTCATCGGAGTCCGCATCGTCAACGTCACTGATGACGTCATCAGTGACGTCACTAATGACATCATCGGCATCGTCACGTGACCCCTCAAGGTCACGTGACCCCCCCAGGTCACTTCACCCCCCCCCCAGTACCCTTCCCTCCTCCTCAAGAGCTGCGCTCTAATTCGGCGTTACAGGGAGTTGTAAACGGCTTTCACTTTTTTTCTTCGTCTTTGTTAGCGCTTTTAATTTTAAAAGTCATGAACCAACTCGCCCGCTTCGCCACTTTAGTTCAAGAATGTTGCACAGAGGGTCTAACGACTTCCTCAAAGTCCTGGGGATCAGAGAAAATGATGGTACAAAGGAGAGAACAAGCGAGAGCCAGTGAACGGCATATACTCCGTTCCACCTTAAGGGGGGACACTACCCAAAGAAAAAAAAATTCTGCAAAAACCTTGATTTTGAAAAATTACATATTTACATCCATCTACATCCAGAGAGTATTCCTAGAAGTTTTCACTAGTTCACACTGCATAGTTAATTTTTTATAAATTATTTTCTGTCCACAGAAGCTGAAGAAAAGGTAGGGTTTGGAGCACTTTGAACATATTTTTCTCCGTTCCACTTTTTGGTATAAATTCCATCGTTTGATAATGGCAATACAGGGAAGGCTCGTTCTTCCCTTTTCCTGACTGAAATTTAATAAGGAATGCACCTATGGAGTTTGTTTGTCACTTTACGGATGTCTTTTATAAAAAATGTTGACATTTTGTCGCAGACACAGAAAACCAAAAAGTTGACCAATCTTGCATAAGAGAAAATTGATAGAAATCAACGGCTTTTTACAACAAAATCTTTCCATAGGCACACCTCCTAAACATTCTGCTACGTATCTAGCGAATAAAAATCTTGAATATTGGGATAGCTCCCAGGGGGTGTCTCCCCTTCAGTCCAACCGCAGCCAACGCTACAATTTGACGGGGTCAATCAAGATAGCAGTAAAGGTGCATTGTCACAGCACTCGGCGAGTCTATCATTGCCAAAACTAATCGCGTGCAGAAAAAATCGCGGAGCATTCACTGGGCGCCATATGTTGCGACAGGAAACGAGCAACGGCAACGAGCACCCTCAACAATGCACCTTTGGCGCGGCTAGAATGACTCTGAGCGGAGTATTGCATCCATTTCGAGGGACATTGCACTCCTCCCAGGAAATTTCTGAACTGCCCAGGCAGGACACGTATGTTACGAAATGCAGTTTCTCCCAAGAAAGAAGTTACGAGTGAAGCAATATTTACGCCACAAGACGTATTTCTATTTTGGAGCAATTACATCGAAGGACACCCGCCATACTCCGGCGGGGGACTGAGGATTAGTTTCGATCGCCCGGGGATCTTTTCATGCGCAACCGAAATCTCGGTTACAAGCGCCTTTTTTACGAGCCTTTGTTGGGTTGCGGGCGCCTCGGCCACAAATCGAACACCTGCCACCAGGGGATCCGTAAACTGGTGCTTTGTCTCGAAGTCACCGAGGCGGCGCAGAAGCAACAACTATTCGAGAGCCAACATTGCAGCGACATCAAAAGAGGAGTCACAGAGGAGGTATGCCTCCCCTCCTTTGTTTTTCACCCTCCGCCTACTGAAAAAAGGCAAGAGAAAAAAAAGAAGCCAGTTTGCTCCAACTATGGCTTCTTAAAGTGTGTTTTGAGCTATAAACATTGATTTTTTTAAAGATGAATGCTTTTATGGGCTGGTTTCTCAGTCTAGAGCGTCGCAAAGAGTTGACGAAAACCTGATAAATCGGGCATGTGTCGATCGAGTAGTTGGTGCCACAATGGAACACGTATGCAATCATGTAACCTGATGTCAGTGCCGCGAAACCTTCTTTGACCTGTCATTGGTGTCAGTAACCGCTGAAGTTGACGTTGCAAGAGCTTGGTGTCGCACGACAACTGTTTGCTAAAGCTAGCAAGAAAGCGTTGTATATCACGCTATGGCTCCCCCAGTTCATATTCTGCATAACTCCGACTTTATTCATTAATCAAAATATTTTTTTTTTTTTTTTTTTTTGGGGGGGGGGGGGGGATAGCATGTTGTGACAAGTCTCTTATCCAAGCTCTTCAAAATAAATAAAATGTTTGAGTTCATTGAGGGAAGAAACTAGTCGACGGAAAAGATGGGAAGAACCAGTGCGTAAGCACGAAATACAATGCTTTATCAACCCGTGTTTCTAAGCATTCATAAGCCAAAGCGAAAAAAAAAAGCTTTGTGGTCTCTCCAAGGCATTGGTTCTCATTTACAGGGAGGGAGGTAGGGGGAGTATTTAATGATTACATTGACAAAAAGCTAGATGAAAACTGTATGCATGAAAACGAAGTTTGAAGCTCTGAAATGTATGATAATCAACCCTACTCACTTTGCACATACCATTTGGTCATGTTTACCTTTGCACTGCAGAACCCAGGGATCCTGGGTTCAATCCCCACCCCTGCCCGTTTCGATCTGGATGAGCATCGTACCGGCGTGCGGTCGTGTATCACTACTGCGTGGTGCACGTTAAAGACCCCAGGCTAGCGGTTGTACTGCACTGGCTAAATTGCTCATCTACAGCGAGTGACTTGTCACAACTTTAAACCAACATGAATAATTTTTAAAAAATGTGTATACTGAATACCCCAAACAATTGCCCCCCCCCCCCCCTCCCCATTTTGGGCAAAGTATTGATTTTATAAAAAAAAACGAATGAACCCTACTGCGCGCTCAAAATTCCAGGTATTCTTTGTTACTTTCCAGTTATATCTGCATTTATTAGTTTAAAGACAGACATCCAACCAACTCTTATTATGCTGGCGTTCCTAATCGTCGAATTGATTGCAGCAAGCGTGTGCGAGTATAACATGCTCTGAAAACGGCCGGATGACGTACAGGGATGATGTACGGCATCTTGTGCTGAACCAGGCACCAAGTCACAAGACTGAAGCAGCTCAGAAGGCCCCAGGCGAAGTGGACACTGATGTCGTGTTGATACTCGGCAGATGCACGTGCGTTCTGCCGATGTGTTGCAGATTAAACCTTTCAAAGACCACCTCCGAGGCATATGCGCCAAACTCACGAGAGCAAGAGCAACCACGCCGAAGGGGACCCTCAAGAAGACATCCCGACAGGACGTCATCAGCTATGTGGCGGAGGCATGAGCCGCGGTGTCTGAAGAGATTGTCCATCGGTCTTTCAAGAGGTGCGGTCTCTCCACTGCACTCG